GCCTGAGCGAACCCCCGATTGGCCCATAGGCTCAGTTAACTATTTCTTTATAAAAATGCCATGTATAAAAAAACACAATTTCTTATAGAAAACAAACAAAATCTTTAATTTATATTTTTCATGATCTAAAAAATACTCCCTCCGTCCGGAAAAGCTTGTCCCAAACTTGTCCCTCAAATTGGTGTATCTAGCTAGCACTAACTTGATGATAGATACATCCATTTGAGGGACAAGTTTTTTCGGACAGAGGGAGTATATGATAATTTCCATGTTACTTTGTAAAACTGAAAATATATAAACAATGTCATGCTACTTGGTAAAACTGTCATTTCTTTAATTAAAGTTATAATGGTAGGATTGAAAAAGGTGTCGTGTGATCTAAAAATAATAAATTTATGACTTTTGTCGTGCAAATGTTTCATTGTGCAAGAAATGCCATGTTTTGGGGAACATTTTTTCTTTATTTTTTCCATGGACAAAAAAAACGCCATCCTGTGAATTTTTGCTCTATTTGGTCAACTGGGCAAAAGTTCATTGAAATGCCATGCCATCAAAAAATAATAATCAAAATTGTCATTCTCTTAATAATAAATCTCTCATCCTTTTAATTATAAAGATGCCATGCAAACAGTAATAAAAATAACACGCTTTCAATAATAATATTGCCGTCCGCTTGATAACAAAAAACGACATGCAAATAATAATAAAATGGCCATCCTAGTAATAATTAAACTTCCATGCTCTTAATTGGAGAAAAAATAAATAAAGAACGCTGGTCAGGAAGCAATTTAACAGCGAACAACTCTAGCTGATCTACGTCGCACCGGCCTTGTGCCAAGATCCGTGCAACTGTGGGGAAGGCGTTCGATGGGATGGGCTCCCTGGCTGATGTCAAGGTTATGGAATCCCAACAATTTTTCTCAAGGGATGAACTTTATAATTGAATTTTGAATTCAAAATCTTTTAGACTGGATATAGATAAGACTAGGACAAAACATCGTCATAAAATTGCGACTAAACATTCGCCAGGTAAGATTTCCGTAAGTAATTGTGAAGTAGTACCTGTAGAGTAAGAGATCCAGGTAATGATCGATGATGCTTACAGTGAAGAAATCACCGGCGATGATGGTGGCTGTGTCGGGCTGAGGCGGCACGGCGATCCAGTTGCCGTCCCTGGTCTGCACCTCCAGGCCTTCCACCTCATGCTGCAGGACGGTGCTGGTGATGCAGGTGTCACGGTGCGGTAGCAATGAGACGCCGGTGGCTGCGTCCAGAGGCCGCATGCCGTAGCGCCAGAGCCGAAGGCCGTAGGTGAGCGCCTCCTGGTCCTGGTGTGCGTGGATGCGCTCCTCCCCGGCGCCGAGGCCCTCAAGGACCATCATCATCACGGTCTGCTCCAGCTTCACCAGCTTCTTGGCAACCGACACAATGGTGTCGCTGGGTGTCACTCAAAACTGAGAATAATGCTATGGATGCGTGCATACACGTACGTGAAGTGAAGGTGATGGATTTACCAGAAGGCAGGGTTGCCCCCCTGCTGCGGCCAGAGGAGGTTGCCGTAGTCACGGACGCGGCTGGCGTCGGTGGGATCCCAGACGCGCAAGCTCTCGAGGGTCCCGTCGGGCATGTTTGAGATGTAGCCTTGGAACGGGACCCGAGTGGACGCCACGTTCTGCCGCTTGGCCTCCACCGGAAGCGCGTACAACTCCGGCAAGGCGCGCCCGAAAAGCGCTTCCCGGAGCTCCGGGCCGACCGCGTCGTGTGCGACCACCACGAAGCCGTGTGCCACCATGGATGTGGTTACGGCGTCCCGGGCTTCCCTCCACCCAGGCCCGCTGGGATTTAGGCCACGGAGGTCCACCTTAGTAATCTCCATGAGCTACCTGTTGCTCTGCGCCTTGGCTCGCTCTAGCATCTACTACTTCTTCTGCCTTGCCAGTTGTGATTTTGTGAATGTTTTGTGCTTCCTAGAACTTGCTTTATGTCATTTTATGTCAAGCTAGCGCTGCACGCCAACACAAGCTAATTAAATAACCAAGTCAGCGCATATATAGAAGCAACATCATTTTATATTTCTCTATCTAAAAAAGGGTTACTTGCTTTCCCCGCAAAAAAAGGTTACACTTGCCCGTGACAAACTAATGCAGTCCTGCCTGCGTACAGCTTACAGTTCCGTTGGACCCGTTAGATGCTCAATTCTTTCTTCTCGAATACGCAAAGCTTGCGTGTCATTTCATTGATAGAAAGATTAAAATGAGTACATAGGGATATAACACATGACACGAACGCAGGCAGACGTGTACATGGTGCCCGGAGCAGAGAGACAAGGGATGCTCAACCTGAACAGAGGATACAACACAGCTAAACCTACCAAAGTGAGCCAAGGGCGGCAATGCCAAGCCAACGATAACTCCAACATCGTCCGAGCCAAAACCGGGGACACCACGAGCGAACAAGATAGTGCCTTGAAGAAGGAATACGATGCCGAGACACCGTCACTATCCGGTCCGAGGAACTCGAACCGAGGATTTCCCCTGAGCTCAAAGAGGGCGCAGCTAAAGGCCTTGCCAGCGCCTCCAAGAAGGAAAACGACACCCGCGGGCGCCGTAGCTGCCAGCACCGGCAAGCCGTGCAAGGATCTCTCCCTGGCCTGAAGCTGAGCGATCCCATAGCCGCCGAGTTGGAATCAAAGGTGCGGAGGCCAATGTTGGTCGGAACCACCAAGTCAGGAAGGGGTTGGCGGGGCTGCACCTGCCGTCGGAGGGTGGCGTCGCCTCCGAACCCACGAGCATAGGGTCTGGCAAAAGGGGGAGACTTTGAGCCGTACAGGGTAGGGCGGGCGACAAGGCGAACCACGCTGGGATCTTGGGGTGACGACGTCCGGCAACGCCGACAAGCGAGGATTGGAGGGACGCAGATCCAAGCTGCCATGGCCTTAGCCGTCGGGGCATCGGCGAGCAAGGTAAATTGGCTACCCAGTCACTGTGGCCGGAGCTGCCCGGTTCGGGACGCCGGCAACGAGGGACGCCGGAGAGACGCGGCCTGAGGCCACCGGGGCCGAAACAACACCGGCAAGGACCACCGCGGCAAACCCCGTGCCAGCCACAACCGCAGATGCATCGCCGTCTCGACGCAAGAATCATCACCGTTGCTCGGGGGAAAGGATCGCCGCCGGAGACCGCGGCAGCGGCCATGGTCACCGTATCCGCCGCCGGCTGGCAGGCGCGAGCAGCAGCTGGTGGGGGAGCGCCCAAGAATCATCAGGAGGGTCCAGGTGTCACGGGCCGAGGGGGCGGAGGCACGTGAGGTGGGGGACGCCCGCGGCGGCAGATGATGGCGGGGAGGAGCGGCTCACCGGTGGCGGGGGCCAGGCCGATGGGGAGGGACCAGATCCACCGCCCCCGGACCAGCGGGAGGAGGGGGCGCTGCCGCGGTAGGGGGTGAGGCGCGGGGGTGGTCTGGGAGGTTGGGGGTGCAAGCGACGCTGTTCCACCCCGCCGCCACCTTCCTGGGGTCCGGCGCGTCTTCGCCGGCCGGCCCTTCGGCGG